CTGCTGATTACTTCCACCTTGTCTCCCTCGTCAGGAAATGATTCTGACACACACTCACACCCTGCTTTCTCTGCATCAATATGCGTGCCATGGAAAAACTGCAGACAGTAAATAAATAATGAAAGACAAGGTAGGGAGCGGCAGTGCGCGTTGTTCTCAGGCGGTCGCCTCCTCTGTCCTGTGTGCGCGCTGTGCTCGTGTGCCTCCCTCAATATGAGACACAGGGATTTATTAGACAGGTGTGCGTTATTGAAGGGTAAATAAGGCGTCAGATCACCTTCAAACTCTTCTCCGATCATATTCATTTTAATTAAAGCACTCGTTTAATTAAAGCCTGTGCAGACATTTAACTCTCGCAGCTCAATAATCCTCCTGTATTGCTTTCATTCGGCTCTGTCCTTTATGTGAAATGGGGTGTGGATTCGGCAGACAAATATGCCAGCGAGTAAAGCCGGGCGTTTTTGATTCCAGCTCCCTGAGGGGATTATGAGAGCGCCGCCGCATCCTGCCGGGGACACACAGAGGGTAAACACATGTGATTGGCCCACTAACCTCGGGCACAGAAAGGCACCACTTGTTCTTGTTTGGCTGTTTTTGGCCAGAGATAGCTGCGTTTACTCGCACAGGACTCTGAGAAATATGGAGCCGCAACATCGTTTAAGGCAGAGATGACCTAAAGACCCAGAAATGATTAGTTTGTGTGGGTGCCATCGCCATCGCCTTTCCCCCGGAAGACCAATGAAAAAGACTTTTCTTTGGCCAGTGTTTTGGAGAGTGATTCGAGCCGTTGTAAAGCTGTGTTTGGAGATGGTTATGTATAAAAGACACTATCTGGGTTCAAGTGGAGTCCACCGCTGGAAAATATTCTTAGATCATCTTTAAAACTTTGCAGCATTCTTTGTGTTAAATCATCTCTCGAAAGAAGTAAAGACGCAAGGATTTGTGCTGAAGTTTTTTGCGTCCATGTAAAAAAGCACTGTACGCACTCAAAGAAGTTCCCACTTCAATTTACCTTTAATGATCCTCATGACTCTCCATCGGATACTCGAGGGTTCATGGGAGTTCGCCCAACCTGTCCACATGTGCTTTGTGGATTTGGAGAAGGCGTTCGACCGTGTTCCCCGGGGTGTCCTTTGGGGGGTTCTCCGGGAGTACGGGGCCCGGGGTCCTCTGCTGAGGGCTGTCCGGTCCCTGTATGACCGGAGCCAGGGCTGTGTTCGCATTGCCGGCAGTAAGTCAGACCTGTTCCCGGTGAATGTTGGCCTCCGCCAGCGCTGCCTTTTGTCACCGGTTCTGTTCACTGTGTTCATGAACAGAATTTCTAGGCGCAGCCAGGGGCCGGAGGGGGTCCGGTTCGGGGACCACAGGATTTCATCTCTGCTGTTTGCGGACGATGTTGTCCTGTTGGCTCCAACGAACCAGGACCTGCAACATGCACTGGGGCGGTTTGCAGCCGAGTGTGAAGCGGCTGGGATGAGAATCAGCACCTCCAAATCTGAGGCCATGGTGCTCGACCGGAAAAAGGTGCCTTGCCCTCTGCAGGTGGGTGGAGAGGTCCTTCCTCAAGTGGAGGAGTTCAAGTATCTCGGGGTCTCGTTCACGAGTGAGGGAAGAATGGAGCGTGAGCTTGACAGGCGGATCGGTGCAGCGTGCGCAGTGATGCGGTCGCTGTATCGGACCGTTGTGGTAAAGAGGGAGCTGAGCCGAAAGGCAAAGCTCTCGATTTACCGGTCAATCTTCGTTCCCTCCCTCACCTATGGTCATGAGCTTTGGGTAATGACCGAAAGAACGAGATTGCGGATACAAGCGGTCGAAATGAGCTTCCTCCGCAGAGTGGCTGGGCGCTCCCTTAGAGATAGGGTGAGGAGCTCAGTCACACGGGAGGAGCTCGGAGTAGAGCCGCTGCTTCTTCAAGAAGCCGATGAGAGCTATTTCAAACAGGCACCAAGGGCGGGAATCGGGAGCCAAATGCAGGGATAGCAACCACCTAGCCACCAAAGAGCCAATCAGGGGCAAGGTTGCTCGGTTCACGTTTTTAATATTTACTCGCCGAAGCAGAAATTGGTTACACAATCTTGTAAGCAACAAAAGGAGGACGTTTTATTTTTTTATGTGAATGGAGCCAAATGCAAAACTTTTCCTATGAGCTGCACTCCCAATGGACACTTCTAGTTTATTTACTTTCACAAAACTAGTACAAAGAATAATAATCTAGCATGGAAAGCTAAAACAGATCAATATAGCATAGATTGGGGCTAAGGAAAACTTTAATGTCCTCTTGAGGGAATGCGTCTTCTACATTGGACTCATCTTTCCAATGCCACTTGGACACCTGTCAGAAGCACTTTATCTGTTCTTGAACCACATTTCAATTCACTGATTTATGATGAAGCAAATACTTTATTTTGGTAAAAAAAAAAAAAAAAAAAAAAGGGAAATGATATAACAATGTTTGAGTGAAACAATATTTTGAACGATCAGATTCAACTCCAGGCAAAACAAAACAAATTGTCTTTTCTTTTCACATGGCCACTTAGATCCTCAAATGTTGTCTGCTGTGGAAATTGAAAACTTTTTTTTACGATTTTTTTTTTTTATAATTTAATTTTCAACTATTTATTTCTTTTCTTGCAACCGTCAAATATTCTGATATAATTAAAAAAGCATTGAAACAAATTTCAGTCTGTCGAGCTAGAAGTACTTAAATTATGTGAGGGTCTAAATCTCTGCCCTAAACTGCGCATCAAGGTTTTTGTTTTAATGCTTTGTTTTACTTCATCTGTGTTAGAATGGTTGAACCAGATTGTGTAACTCTTTTTCCATTACCTTTTGTACAGAGAAAGCGCTATAAGCAGATTTTCATTAAACTCAGCGCAATGAATTATCATGTTTTGTAAAAAGAGACGTGACACATTCAGTTTTTTTGATTAGTTTAAGAGATGATTTTAAAAATATCCGTAGATGTCTTGACAGATCGGTTCACACTTCCCTTAATGCGGGCAAACGGTCCAGAAGCACACAACCCTGATGACCCACACTGACCAGAGACAAGCCTTTATCTCCACCTGGACTCCGTAATACCGCCACTGCCGACTTAAGCGCATCTCCTGGCTAGCTCGCCACTTATTGCAAGGTGGCGGCAGCGGCTCAATTTGGTGCGATGGCGACGTGCTCAGTCAGGGGAGAAGTCGGTCCTGGATGATTTGCTCTCTCTCACACACATGCACGCACACATCCCCTTCGCACCTCAGCAGCCGCCCCAAATGTGGCTGTCCCCCCCCCGCATCCTTCTCCCCCCGGTAACTGCCTCCCATAGCAGAGAATCCCGACACCCGCCAATTGCTCATTCGCGCTAGCTATCTCTGGAGCCCGTCTCATGTCACCCCACCCCTCCCCTCCCCCACATCACCCCCCCCCCCCTTTCCATAGCCCCACGAGTGCATTCCGGCGTGACAAACCACACGGGATTTCACTAGTCCTTTAAAGTCTGCTGCCGCCAGTGGGAAGCGCTTCCTCTCTGTGCAGCGTTTTAGTATTCCAGGAGAGACGTGACCGGGGAGGTAACTGAGGCTGTTACAACTCTCTACCCCCCTGTGCATTTTTACCGCTTCTAAAGAGGAGGAAGGGGAAGTTTCTGGTGATCGTGGATTTACATTACATGCACGCATTAGGGATGTGTTACAAGACTGTCGAAATTGCAGTACTCTTTTTTTCCCCACTGCTGTCTTTAATCATTATTTAAATTTTCGGTTGTTTGTCAGTGCTTTTATCAATCTATCCGACACTCTGGACATTGGTCTCTCCCTATGGAACAAAACATGTGTGTTCGATAGTTTTTTGTCTTAACAGTTGATTCTCTGATCTGTGTTGGTGATTTCAATGGTAAATGGCAAATGCTTCACACAAATGGTTCACCTCGGAGTGTTATTCAAGAAAAAACCTTCAACCTTGTTTTTGTCACTTCTTTTGTTTTTTTATTTTAACACATAAAAGCATCACAACAACAATATACAAATTCTTAGTAATCTTTAAAACCAAAACACATTTACACATGCAACAATAGGGTTTAAGACAGTGAATAATTTTGTTTTTGGAATGTGTTGATCTCATTGGAAAGGTGGGCCTTATCTTCAGAACGTAATACTTGCAATCGCGATGCTGAAATTCAAAGCTCTAATACTTTCTTTATTGGCAATGCCCTAACCACTGTGAAAAGTTACAATCATTCGTTTTTCAAACTAGAGGACAAAAAGTGATGGAGCTTAAAATTATGGATCATTTAAGAGAGAATGACCTTCAGACAAAACTCTGCTCTGTATCAATCATTTGGAGCTGTCAAAATCAAATGATGACTAATCAAATTCAAAGAACCACCTCAGACAATGTGCCCCAGTAAATCACCGTCTCTAAAACTTCTGACATGATCAAAGCGGCGAAAACAGCCGGAAATATGTTTACATTGTAAAACATTTACAGCTTGCCACATTTTGTTGCATGTAAACCATATAACAAGCAGCTACAGTTCATTCAAATGCCGTTTATTGACTTCCTATCCTATCTGGCCCATCCATCATCATCCATGTAATTACTGTAGTTTGGAGAAAACTTGGATTAGTTGTGGAGATTTGAACAGAATCATTATTGCCAAATTGAATCCAGTTCTGTTGATTTTCAGAGTTTTGAGGCCATTTATGCTTGACAGATTCAGTGGTCGTATGATTGTCGGTTGGTTCCTTAAAACGGGGTAGGTTGTGGAAAACCTTCAACCTGGACGCTGAGAACACATTCATAGACACCAAAAATATACATTATGATACTGTCAAAAAGTACAATAATTACACAGAAAAGGAAATTACAGTTTAAAACAACACTTTCCCATGTATCTTTTTCTCAGTCCACCTCAGTGTTCGTATTTTTCCTTTAAATGTTCTGTGTTGAACCAGTCAAGTGCTTCTGGACATTAGAGTCCGAGTCCCAGTGTCTCTGCACAGGTGCCTTCACTAGAAGAACCACCGGAAAGCTTCACCACTGCTGACAGGCGTCCTCTGCGGAGACAGAAGGTGAAAGACAGGTTAATGGATCAGATGGTAGATCTTAACACCATAGGCATAATGAGGTTGGGTATTGCAATCGTCTGTGTGTGTCTGTAGGCAGGATTGCGCAAAAATGACTAAATGGTGGTGTATAGAAGGGATGTGATGGTAGGAAGACCTCATTCACATTTCAAGGTGATTTGTGATGTTGGTGGGGTATGCGCTCTCCGATTGCACTGGTTAGTGAAGATGAGAAATGAAATCAGATAGAGAGATATGAAATTGAAATGTCTTGATGAAAGCTCAATTACACAAACCTTATAAACGATCACAAACCCATTCCAGATACGTACACAACTTCACCACAAACTACTATGTCTCTTTATAAGTATTTGCCATCAATAGAACATTAATGTAGGTTTTAATAACATTATAAATCTTTTTCTTCAATCCAAATAATTTCATTTTTCCTTTAGGATACGCATTTGAGCTGCTATTTGGTGATCACACAATCCTGGTTAGATAAAGGTCAATAACATTATAGACGAAAAATGTCTTCTATAGACGTACTTATCAATGGGTTTCAGAGTAAAGAGAAACGAGGGCTGTTGCCATAGTGATTAATAGTTCCTAACTAAATGTTGAATGGTAAAATGGTCCTCAAGATTTAGCACAAAACAGTCAGCAGAAAGTCATGAATACGTTTTTATTTAGGGCAAGTTTGCACTCATTGGTCTTGTATCACTGACAATGAGTGACTACACATTTGTTTGTTGTTTGATGGTTTCACATCTACACAAATTAAACATTTTGACCCAACTGAAAAGGAATGAGTGAACACACACACAACATTACATGCTTAACTGACAGCACTATTATATATATACTGTATATATTATATATATATGCTGTCAATTAAACATGTTAATAACGTCATGCAAACTCCAGGCTCCAGGCCTCTACAACGGTCACGTGTCTAAAGTCCACCGGCGGCCTCCTATGACACTGAACAAGTCTATCTCCTTCAAAAGGCGCGTGAGCAGACTACAGTCCTGCTCACAGGTGATTACTGGAAGTCCATCATAACTATCTCCAGGTCGCAGCCCAAACGTTGAATAGCGTTAACTATATGAAGGTGATAATTATATACACTATAAAAACCATCTAACTGATGTGAATGAAAACATAAACAAAAGAGTAGCCTTTATTAGACAATTCAAGTCATTTCTACTGTATCAAATAGTTCTGGACACAGAGCACTAACAAAAGCAGAGATTGAGTCGCCGATATTAGACAATCCAAATAATTTTGTTTTGGATGGGATTGGATTAATATATGCTTTTTTCAAGCCAAATCAAGGGACATATAAATACTATATTTATATACAGGAAGTGAAGTCTCTTTCACAGCAGCAGCTTAACTTCAGCCGTGTTAGCTCTGTTTTTGTTTTTTGTTGTCACTGGACACTGAGGACAACAGTTCAAACTGTATCAATATCAAGGATTTATGGACTGGTACCTTCAAAACCCTAGACAAGTAAGTGACACCACCCTGCATTAAGTTGTCTTGTTTGTGGCATTAGCGGTGGTATTTCATGTTTTTATATCACAGAGCAGCTCAGATCACTGATAAATAAAAGCGAACCAGTGTTTCTGTTGAGATGGAAGAATCCACTCATTCTACTGTACCTCCATGTGATCAAACGCTTTTCTAAGAATATTCATTTTCTCTGCTTCTGACTTTTGACAGTTTAGCTTCATATTAAAACCTAAACAGTAAAAAGATCTAACACTTTTTTTGCTTAGTTATTTTTGTCCCTTCAGTAGTGACTTTTGCAGCAGGATTTGGTTTACTTTTCCAAGTCGTGAGAAAAGGATTGTCAGCATGGCCACAGGTGAAACTTGGAAAATAGGGATATAGATTGATCTGGACCTTGAGTCTGCAAATAAAGTTATCTATCTATCTATAGTTCAGAAGTTTTATTACTGTAATTCAACCTATAATGGTATTAATGATATTATATGGTCTCATCACGTGCAAAGTGACGTATCAAGCAATATTCTTTCTGAAATGTTCTATTTTGGATTTTTACAATCTGTAAGCCATCGCAACATCAATATAACAAAAATTGGCTTGATATGTCTCTCGTTGCCTGCAATGAGTACCATATATATTAGTTTCAAGAGAAAAAGACAGAAGCTAATATTCTAATTTACAAGTTTCACCTGCACTGTGCTTCTCTTGTTTACATATTGAAAACACTGACGCCTGCCATCTTTGATTTAAGTGATTTCTTCTGTCTTTCTTTTCTATCTGTCCTGAAAATAAAAATGAAAACAGATCTATCATCCAACATTTGCGGTGATTTCTGCATAAATTAGTTGTGGGGTGGAGTACAAGCCAGAAACAAAACATATATACAAAGAATGACGTTGTACAGGTCCATCGCTGTATAACAAGGTCATATAATATTTTTCCGCAAACTAAAATTACGACCGCATCAACTCTCGACCCATCGTTCATTCACAAGTCGAGGCCGACGCCATATTTTAAACGCACATAATCAGTTGGCGAAAACAGTTTGGGGGAAATTAATATTAGAGCCACATGCCTAAACTGAGTATTTCATCAAAGTGGCAGCCAAGGTGATTACATCCATGTCCCACCCACACCCAAATAATCATTACACCGGATGAAATATTCAATACAAATTCCCCAGAAACAACAATGAGGCATTTAATTACTGCGCGCCGGAGCAGCAGTGAGGGGGAACAGTGCATCATTTCAATTTGAGCCCCCACCTTTGCCGCCGCCCGTTCTAACCTCTACTCTCTGACAACCTCTCCTTCCCAAACTCATTTAGAAGTCACACACGGAAAATACTCAAGTTTCCAAGCAATCCCCATGACCAATTAGCACATTTGCTTGATTTTTTTTTTTTTTGGACAGGAGGAAGGGGGGGGGGATGATGCATAATCGCAACAAAAATCACTTTAGTCTGAGAGCGGGGCAATTTGACATTTTAATTCCGAGTGCCATCGGTGGCTGCTTAGAAGCATGCTGATGAGAGCGTGCGGTTGTGTATTGTCCTACAGCTGTGTGGTTTACGAAGCGTGCGTTAAAAAAAATCAACAAAAATAGCGTTGCGGTCTTACGGTGGAGCTGGATGAAATCATTAGTGAGAGCAGTATACTCAAGCTGTGAGGTAATAGGAAGAATCTGCAATCTTATTTTTGTGGTTTGGAAATTGAACTTGGGGTTTGCAGAGTGGGGCAAAGACGGTAGGATACTGCATACAAGTGCAGGTTTTAAAACATTCTGTCTATGAATAAATATTTATCTATAAAGCACATTTAAAAACAGCCTATAGGTTTACCAAAACGCTGTACAGACAAGTGAAAAACAATAAAAACAGCTAAAAATAAAGGAAATACTACTATATAGAAATATTTGTAATTCCTACAAATAATATTCTATACAAATTTAAAAAAAACGAACACTTGTTTCTTGTTACCTGGTTCTAAAACATTTTGAAATTAACTTTCTTCATGTTTAAAGCATAGACTGTATATTAGTCTATGCTAATAAATTTGGACTAATCGAGATGTCACCCATAATGTGTGCCGAATAAGCTAAGAAGGTTGCTAAGGCAAGCTAGAGTTTGAATGAATCACAAATGAAGACATCTGATTCCAGATACACACAAATTTTAACATTTAATCCCAGGATCATAGAGAGCACTAAAACGCAGTTTTGGTGAGCGTGACACAAACAAGTACTGAGCAAGAGAAGTTTACTTTACTATGTAAGTCATCAGGGGCCAACATTTAGAGCAAAACCTTGCCCATGAGCACTTCTCTATTGGGCTTCAATAAGCTAAGAGGTTAGCATCATCCATCTTTATGCAGTCTATGGCTTCGAGGCTCAAAGTGTCAACAGAATTGTAAAATGACCTGCAGAATCATTCCGTTATTTCTTTTATTGTCTGTTTCACATCACACTATGACTGTTTCACTTATGAACAAGCAGCTTTCTCATTTCATCAAACAAATAACTTTGAGTGTGTTTGGACAGGTGCTTCAGGCATGTCCCGCCGGGAGGAGACACTGGGGAAGACCCAGGAAATTCATTGGAGGGATTATGTCTCCTAGCTGGCTTGGGAACGCCTCAGGGTCCCCACGATATGAGCTGCAGGAGGTGTGTGTGGATAGGGTGGTCTGGGCGTCTCTGCTCTTAGACTGTTGCTCCTGAGACCCGGCAACAAATTAGGCCAAAGTAAATGGATGGAGGGATGTTTGGACTTAACTATTCAACAATACTTCACACACAATGCAACAATTAATCAGGATGAGATAAGGTTGTGTGCTGCAAAATGTATTAGCATCATCTCATCTCATCAAGAGACAAAAACAACTACTCACTTGGACTATTTCAAGGCAGATAGACGCTCTCAATTGATCAACTTTACTCAACATTACTTGAAACTGGCTCAAAAATAAAATACTTGAACACTGACTCCAATTTTAGGAATTCTTAAAAAACAACATTGAAGGCATAGATAGCATAGCATATTAGAAGTGGACTAACAGAGTGCTGACATTTGCTGAATGCGGAAGAAGACGATTTGAACATAAGTGAGCTGGAGCCAATGTCCTTATATGGGAATTTGTTCTGATGGGGTTAGCTTAGCATGGTAACAGAGGCAGTAGTGTTGATAACATGGATGTTAAGGCAAACTGGACTTTTCACCTGCGAATGACGGCATCTCGAGCTTGTATTGTCCATATAGTCTATGATTGGGAGCTGCGTCTGTTGTCATGGTGTCATATTGTTTTATATAGTACACATTCTAAATCATCTATTTCTAACAACACTAAAACAAGAGACATGATTGAGAGCTGCAAAACATAAAGCAAGGAGACAGATCTTCCGTTGTATCTTTGGTTTGATCACATGTGTCCTGGGAAGTGTCTCATCCCTAATAATTATACAGTACAGCAAACAGGAACACA